AAATGTAATAATCTCTCTTTAAGAAAACACCATTCCCACTCTGAAAAACAGTATGGTTTTCCTCAAAAAATTAAAAACAGAACTACCCTATGACCCAGAAATTGCACCACTAGGTATTTATCCAAAGGATACAGGAGTGCTGATTCGAAGGGGCACGTGCACCCCCATGTTTATAGCAGCATTATCGACTGATAAATGGATAAGGAAAATGTGGTGTATATATACAATGGAATATTACTCGGTGATCAAAAAGAATGAAATCTTGCCATTTGCAACAACGTAGATGGACCTAGAGTATATTATGCTAAGCAAAATAAGTCAGGGAGAGACAAACATCATATGATTTTACTCCTATGTGGAATTCAAGAAACAAAAGAGATGAACATAGGGAAAGGGAAGCAAAAATAAGATAAAAACAGAGGGAGACAAACCATAGGAGACTCTTAAATACAAAGAACAACCTGAGGGTTGATAGTGGAGTGTCGGGTGGAGGGATGGGCTAAACAGGTGAGGGAGCATTAAGGAGGGCACTTGTTGGGATGAGCACTGGGTGTTATATGCAAGTAATGAATCACTAAATTCTACTCCTGAAACCATTATTACACTATATGTTAACTAACTTGGAGTTTAATTTTTTTTTTAAGTTTCTAAAAAATTTTTAAAAAGAAAATACCATTCCCAACTATAGGAAGAGAAAAGAGGGTGTTATCCCTAAAGTTCCTTTTATTCCACCATCAAATAGCAATTATCTTTCATTTCCCTCCTTACCCCCCTTTCAAACTCAAAACCTCATCTAATTTTCAGAGTCACATGGTATTTATATGATGACCTCTGTTTTCCTCTAAACTCATCTTCTGTCTTGTAGACAAGGTTAGCCTCTACCCACTTTGTCCCTGAGTACTGTAAACTGGGAATATGATTTCTTGAAATTGTTTTATTTTAACCAAAATCTATTACAACATGGGGTGCCTGGGTGGCTCAGTCAGTTAAGCATCCGACTCTTGATTTTGGCTCAGGTCATGATCTCACAGTTCATGAGTTCAAGCCCTGCATCTGCCCTGTCAGCACAGAGCCTGCTTGGGATTCTCCCTCTCTACCTCTCTCTCTGCTCCTCCTCTGCTTGTACTCTCTTTCCCTCTCTAAATAAATAAATAAACTTTAAAAATATTTTTTTAAAAGAGGAAGGCTACAAAGAAATCTTAAAATAGTAATATACAATGAATGCTGGGGATGAAATCGTCAGAAGGTTAATTTTCTAGCTTATTCCCCAAGGTTACTAATACAAAGTATCTCAGATATCATACCACAGGGTAACTTAAAACCTTAATGCTTTATACTACCTGTAGGCAATCTAGGCATTATTATCTTTAAGGTAAGTTTAAGTTAACTTGCCACTTTTAAGACTTAAATTGTGACAAAGTAAATGATAAGTCCCTGTTTTAAAACCACCAGCCTCTTTGGGCCTTTTTGTGAACAACACATTGATGTTTGCATATGCATTTTTGTTTTATGACTATGGTCAAACTTTAAAACACCCTTGTTCAGTGCCAAGCACACATGTGTTAAACTGAACTTCCATTTACAACTTTTTAAAAAACTGAATTAAAGTTTTATTCTTTTCAGGCTACCCCTGTCACGAGTGAATTGTTCTCAGTTTCTTGGTTTGTGTGCTCTTCCAGGTAGGTTTACAGTTGGCTTCCTATTGAGATACTTCAGATAATTTTTTGTCAGCTAACACATCATACTCTGTACTGAGCAGTAAGAGAACTTCATAGATCAGCAGCCTGGGGAAGTCACTTTTGGAAGCCCTCCTGTGGGCTGTAGCTAAAAGAACACAGATCACTCTTCAACCCTTCCAGACCCACATTCATGGTTCTATATTTCTGACTCACCTACCTTAATAAAACGTAAATACTGGGGTACAGGTGAGGCTGAGGGCAACAAGCAGGTACTTGTTATAGAAAGGACACAGAGCAAAGAATCTTTGGATGAGGAGTTCCTTCAGCTGGGATCTCTGAATCCCTGCAATTATATCACTAAGAATATAAGAAATCGAAATCCATATTCAAAATGAAATCGCAACATATAAATGATCATATGGTATGACTTTCTAAAGTAGCTGTGTTTGTGTTTAAGTATATTTCTTATATATGATTAAAAACTGACTTTTTCACTTGCCTTATTACTGCTTATAGGTTGTAAATTTAAAAATGTTAGAAGAAATATCCAAAAAGACACAGGTAGGTGTAACATGAAACAACCATATTAATAGTTTTTTTCTGAATAACACTGAAAATAATCTCTTTGTCAAAAAGAACAAACGTTAGTCTCTGTTTGGTATACCACATAAATGTTTGATATTTCATAGTTTTAAACTATAGATTTATTCTAACATGAGAAGAGATATTTGCAAAGGGCACAGAGAACTAACTCATTTACTAAACATAGCATTGCTTTTCACCAATTGTTGTAGTTACACATAGAAATTGCATTTGAGTTTAAAATGTATACATTAGAGGGGCGCCTGGGTGGCTCAGTCAGTTGAGCGTCCGACTTCAGCTCAGGTCATGATCTCGCGGTCCGTGAGTTCGAGCCCCGCGTCGGGCTCTCTGCTGACAGCTCAGAGCCTGGAGCCTGTTTCAGATTCTGTGTCTCCCTCTCTCTCTGACCCTCCCCCGTTCATGCTGTCTCTCCCTGTCTCAAAAATAAATAAACATCAAAAAAAAAATTTTTTAAAAAAATGTATACATTAGAGGGAGGAAGGTATGTAAACAGAAAACTGACATTTCACTGCCAAGATCTTTGAACACACTATCCTTTGCAGACTTGATTGTTGTGATAGCAGAAATTAAGCCTGAATTGGGAACCCAGAGGTAGTAGTGAAATTGTCCATCCTGGTCAGAATTTAGAGATCCAGCGTCTAGATGAGAAAGATGGAGTAGGGCCAATCTTCACAGGCCCAAAGATGTTCATACCACTATAGCCTCAAGTCTAATAATCCCACAAATATTCTGACAATCCACCCCAATTTGGAGTTTACATATTCCATGGTACTAAAAAACTTGGATTTTCAAAATATTTTATCCTGCTTGGCCTGGAATAGCTCAAGGCTAATAGTCCTACCAATGTCCTTATAATACAACAAAATAAATATAGAGATAAATATAATATATAAATGACATATATAAGTATATAAGATAAATATGTCATATATCTTGATTCTGACCAGTAAAAATTTGTTGGATCTTACATTTTTTTCCCAGTTGTTTTGGAGTATCAATTTATTAATGTACCTTCTCTAATTTATTCCTTACCTACCAAAAAGGACTGGAGGCTAGTAGATTAGTTGACTCTTGCAGTATTTGTAAAGATTCTCTGATTTAGAGGTACCTGCCATGGTAGAAACTTTTCATTTGGAGACCATTTAAGTCATAAGCAAAATATAATGAAAATCACTAGTTCAAGAACCAGTCTTGCACATTTTGGAAAGCCCTGTTCCCTTCCAATATTTTGGAATTTGGGATTTCCAATAGCTTACCAAACCTTTTGTCTTCCATTGAGATCTTGAATGCAATCCAATCCAATGTATAAGAGATGACAATCTGATGATAGGAGAGACCTAGACTCTCCCTGCACCAGCTCCTGTGGCTCCTCCTCAGAGTCCTTTCTAGGAAAGCTTGAAAACCACTGTATAATAGCAATTATGTGTGCGAGAGGCAGATAGAAGATTACCTACTCTTGAAAATGGTGAAGTATGCTAACTACAGGTTTAATCCTTTTAGAAGTACAAAAAAAATAATAGTATTACCTAAAGCAGCACTGTCCACTGGAAATATAATGGGTGCCACAAATAGAAGCCATGTATGTAACTTTACATTTTTAAGTTGCCACAGTAAAAAATTAAAAACAGATGAAATTAACTTGATAATATATTTTATTTAACCTAACATAGCCTAAATAGTACATTGTCAATGGCTTTAAGTATAAAACAAATTATTAATGAGATATGGGGTTTTTTTTAATTTTTTTTGTTTAATGTTCATTTATTTTTGAGACAGAGAGAGACAGAGCATGAACGGGGGAGGGTCAGAGAGAGAGGGAGACACAGAATCGGAAACAGGCTCCAGGCTCTGAGCAGTCAGCACAGAGCCTGACGCGGGGCTCGAACTCACGGACCGCAAGATCATGACCTGAGCCAAAGTCGGACACTTAACTGACTGAGCCACCCAGGCGCCCCAGATATGGGTTTTTTGTACTTAACCTCTGAAATCAGATCTATATTTTACACTTAAAATACATCTCAATTTGCACTAGCCACATTTCAGGTACAAATCTGGAGGTTCATGATGAAAGGCACTTTGTGCTTAAATGGCCCAGGATTTGGGAGGCAGGGGGAGAGAGGAGACTGAGATCATCCAGAATTAGTTATTCATTTTGAACCTAATGGTCTATAATAAATATTGCCATAAGGACATTCCAGTGTATAGAATGGCCTATAGTACAATTGCTTGGTTCATATTCATAATAGTGAAAATTAGCTAAGTTGCATAATTCTAACACAGTTAACGTTTTATTTCTGGAGACCTAGTTCACAAAATTAGATGCATGATGGGGTGGCACAGTACAAACATAAAGGAGAACATGAGCTCAGGCACCATGGGCATGCTGGAGATTTACATACAAGGCGTAGGGTCAAACAAAACAGCAGTGATGAAAGTAACAAACATGAATTTTGTGAGAAAAAATCAGGGGGAAAAATGTGCTGTCAGTTCTTCACAAGAGTTTATCTTGAAATATTGGATGTTTCAAAATTTACTTTAAAGCAGTATTGAAAAGATCTTTTTTCAAGAACAGCAATATAATTGACTCATCTTAAATTCAGTAAAAAGCATTTTGAATTATTAAGTCAGGTTTAATTTTAAGCACCTTTTGGTTCAGGCATTTCTAATTCCTATTTTGTGCTTAGTGACTTGATTTTTACCCTACTTTGAAGACAGATTAATATTGTTTTAGATTATCAATAAGTATTTCAAATGTATAGATTATCATCTGTTAGTTTGGCTTAAGAAATTTAACACCACATTCTCTGTCTTGACTGTATTTAAATTTGTAATATTTTGTACATGTGTATCCGTCTCTTGGTCTATTGGCAGAAGAACTAAAGAGCTATGGTATACAAGACATATTTGTTTTCTGCACCAGAGGGGAACTGTCAAAATACAGAGTCCCAAACCTTTTGGACCTCTACCATCAGTATGGAATTATCACTCATCATCATCCAATCCCAGATGGAGGGACTCCTAACATAGCCAGCTGCTGTGAAATAATGGAGGAGCTCGCAATCTGCCTTAAGAATAACCGGAAAACCTTAATACAGTACGTTTTTCTTTTCTCTGTTTGTTACATGAGAAATGTCCCAGTCAGAATGATTTTTCCAATTGTTGCATCCTTACTCACTTATTACTTACCTTATAGTTTGGTGCAAGGATTAAAAGGAGATAAGGCATCAGGGCACCTGGATGGCTCAGTTGGTTAAGCACCTGACCCTTGGTTTCGGCTCAGGTCAGAACCTCACAGCCATGAGATTGATCCCTGCGTTGGGCTGCATCAGGCTCCATGCTGTCAGCTCAAAGCCTGCTTGGGATTCTCTCTCTGTCTCTCTCTCTCTCTTTCTCAATCCCCCCTCTCAAAATAAATAAATAAACTTTAAGGAAAAAAAAAGAGATAAGATATGAAATTTCTAGTACAATGTCTGCTACAGAGCAAGCACTCAGATATTTACCTGCTTTGGATTCTGTGTCTCCCTGTCTCTCTGCCCCGTTCTCACTTGTGCTCTGTCTCTATCTCTCAAAAATAAATAAATGTTAAAAAAAAATTTTCTGGGGCGCCTGGGTGGCTCAGTTGGTTGGGTGTCCGACATCGGCTCAGGTCATGATCTCACAGTTTGTGAGTTCAAGCCCCATGTCAGGCTCTGTGCTGACAGCTCGGAGCCTGGAGCCTGCTTCGGATTCTGTCTCCTTCTCTCTCTGCCCCTCGCCAACTTGTGCTCTGTCTCTCTATGTCTCTAAAAAAATAAAGAAATGTAAAAAAAATTTTTTCTAATTAGCAAAGAAATCATTCATAAGCAATGAGCAGTCTTAAAAATATGACTGGAAAATTACATTTGATGATATGAATTTCTCACCAAAATGAAGGAGGGACTCCCATTGCTTGTCAATGGCTATGCAAAGCTGCTGGTATGGAAGTTTAAAACAAAATAAAATGTGTTAAGGGAGAAAAAAGGAGAGAAAAAAAAGCACGGAGAAAGGAAAAAGGGAGTGACAATCAGCAACGGACAGTAGCAATACAAAGATTAGAAGTGGTACTATGGATAATAATAGTAGATGCCCTGCCAGCAGTGAGACCCGTTAACAGTAGAGGGCCGGCCATAGGCAGCAAACTAGTCCTTCTCTGTGCTTCTTGTACTTTCTGTATCCTAATAAACTGCTTAATCCTTTCTGGAACAAGATAGAGTATTAAACAGTTTGATACCTCAAAAGCCCTAAAGTCACTGCTTTGAGCTAGAAAGTATGCAGACTATACCAAATAACCAGAGCGCCAGGCTCAGGGCAGCAAGGGAAAGGCAAAGCCCAGCTACCTTCTCTCCTTCAATCTAGAGCTCCGGGACCTCATGTCAACAGTTTCCCTTTGAAGGCAAACCAGCTAGTACAAGGGTCTTTGGGGACACAAACCATATGTGGTTGAACTAAACTCTAATGTACAGAGAACTATAGCCAGGAGAGTAAGGAATAAAGACAAACCATCCCGCATTCTACAGTTTCCAACCTTTCTCTAGAGAAAAGCATAATCTGTAATTGTAAGCAATTACTAATTGCTTTACTAATTATAAAAGCAAAACTTTAGACTAAAGTTGACTCTGCTAAATTTTCTAGTAAGACTAAGTTAAATAGCATTAGATGATTAGCTGTGGCTGGTGAAAAATATTTTCCAATTTTTGGACCTATTTTTTAAAATTTTTTTTTAATGTTTAATGTTTTTTTTAATGTTTTTGAGAGAGAGAGAGAGACAGAGTGCAAGTGGGGAAGGGGCAGAGAGAGAGGGAAACAGAATCTGAAGCAAGCTCTTCAGATGCAGGCTCTTCTGTGCTGAGCTGTTAGCACAGAGCCTGACATGGGGCTCGAACTCACCAACAGCAAGATCATGACCTGAGCTGAAGTTAGATGCTTAACCAACTGAACCACCCAGGCACTCCCGGGCCCATTTTTCAAATCAGTCCTGAGATTTTTTTTTTTTTTAATAAATCCTTGGAAGCAGCCTCTACTGAAGAGTTTCCAGAGATCAAACTAGCTCAGATAGTGAAATTTAACAAATACTACTCGAGCAAGTTCTAGCACACCAAATGCTGTCTGCTGTTTGAACAGAATACAAACAGGATGGAAAGATGGTTGGGTAGCCCCTGCATATGTTGAATGCTTCTGGTTCCCATAAAATAAAGCATCTGATGACTGGAAATTTTCATTGTCCTAGAGCTTTCAAAGGTGTCCTATAGTGACTAATGTTTGGATAAAGACAATTTTCTATCCATTCTGCTATCTTTGAGTGCCCACATTGCTAGACGGCTCTAGAGTTTATCTCTCAGAAACTAGGTCTGGTAAATTGTTTTCCACTGTCTTGCTGCCTGCCAATACTGTCTCACTGATTCTCCCTGTGCATTTCTGTTGCTTTATAAAATCAGGGGATGCTACTTGCCTACTGTACTGTGCTGTTTCTAAAAAAAAAAAAAAAAAAAAAAAAAAAAAAGTACTACAAAACAGGTAGCTTAGAAAAGAAACTTATTCTCCCCCAGTTCTGAAGCTACAAGTCCAAAATCACGGTGTCAACAGGACCATATTCCCTCTGAGACTTTGACAGAATCCTTCCTTGCCTCTTCCTAGCTTCTAGTGGTGGCCGTCACTCCTTGGTGTCCTTGGGCTCACCGCCATTATCACTCCAATCTCAGCCTCTGTTGTCACATGATTCTGCACTGCTGTGTCTTCTCAGGGTACTTCCTCCTATAAGGACACCAGTCATATTGGATGACCCAGTTGGGTTAGGGCCCAGTGACCTCATCTTAACTTGATTACATCTGCAGAGACCCTATTTCCAGATAAGGCCACATTCACAGTACCAGGGATTAGGACTTCAACATAGCTTTATGGGGATACAATTCAACCCATAACATCCACTGTGCACCAAACACTAAGAATACAAAACACACACTGTGAGGCACAGTCCCCACCCTCAAGGAGTCCCTGCTAACAACACTACATGTAAGTGCAATAAGATTCACACAAGGTATGCACAAGGCAGCAAAAATGACAGTGATGGTTTCTGTGGGGGCACAAGGGCAGTTCAGAGCTGGACTTGAAGGATAAGCAGGAATCAGAGGAGGAAAGATAAAGGTAGCAATGGGTAGAAAGCAGTATTCATCTTGCAGAAAACCACTGAAGTGTTCTACCTCTCTCCACCTGTCTATGGTAGATCCTTATATCTGGCATATTTGTGGAAAGCAAGTTCATGAATACATAGGAGTCAGTATCTGTTTGCTCCTCTATCTCACATCCTATCCCAAGACCTGTATCTCCAGCTTCATCTTTAGTACACCACAGTAATTTATGTTCCTGATAAGTCAGCAGCACCAAATTAGGTTCAGTATACCCTCTAAGAAAGTCAGGAATTGTATAATACATTTTTTTTTTTTTTTTTTAGCATCTTTGAAAGTAGTTAGAATGAATGGTTTTATTGCTTTGAGGTTAATCATGATTTTTTTCTGGAAAATTCAGTTATACAGACTGCTGATTTCTTCACAAGGCTAGACAATAGCAGCTAACATTCATTTACTTCTTACTCTGTGCCAAGCTCTGTTGTAAGCCCTTTACAAATGTTAGTTATGTCATTCAGTCCTAACTATGATACAGATTCTGTGGCTGTCACTATCTGATACATGAAAAGGCTGAGACCCAGAGAGGTTAAATAACTTCCTTAGGTTCACACATGTAATAATGACAGATTGACCATTCAGCCCCAGACAGTAGGGCTCTAGAAACTATGCTTTATTTATTTATTTTTTTTTAATTTTTTTTTTCAACGTTTTTATTTATTTTTGGGACAGAGAGAGACAGAGCATGAACGGGGGAGGGGCAGAGAGAGAGGGAGACACAGAATCGGAAACAGGCTCCAGGCTCTGAGCCATCAGCCCAGAGCCTGACGCGGGGCTCGAACTCACGGACCGCGAGATCGTGACCTGGCTGAAGTCGGACGCTTAACCGACTGCGCCACCCAGGCGCCCCGAAACTATGCTTTAAATCTCTATAACATGCCACCTCTGTATTCTTTTTAGATAAATAAGGAGTTGTTGTGTCATATGGACTTGTCCCATAACCACTAAGGTTTTGTTTAGACAGAGGAAATAAACTGGCAGTTGGTAAAAATAGTCTGATTTCTATCTATTTAGTAACATGTTCCACTTCTCTGATGTGGATACTGGTGTTTAAAAAGATCAATAAAAAGGGCCTGCCTGCATTGATCCTTAGAGGTATTCAGAGAATACCTCCCAACAAATAAACAAGCACACTTTACTCTTTATTAATGTAAAAATATTTATTAACCTCTGTGTGCCAGGCACTGTGCTAGCAGGCACTATTAAATTTAGAAACAGAAGGCAAATTTAGAAGGAGCAAGTCTTTAGTTCTAATTGGCGGCGTGAAATGAAAATGTCTAATATTCAAATTGTGCTTCCCTTTCAGCTGTTATGGAGGACTTGGAAGATCTTGTCTTGGTAAGAAATTTATTTTCATTATTCAGTAATTTTTTTAAATCCTCAAAGTAGACAAAAATATCCTGTTTCTGGGCCATGTGCTCAGTTTGTATTAAAATGAGACAAAACACAATATAAATCTGCTAAGACCTAAAGATTTATTTAAAGGGGCGCCTGGGTGGCTCAGTCAGTTGAGCATCCGACTTCGGCTCAGGTCATGATCTCACAGTTTGTGAGTTTGAGCCCTGCGTCAGGCTCACTGCCTGTCAGCACAGAGCCTACTTAGGATCTTCTGTCCCCCTCTTTCTCAACCCCCCCCCCCAGACTCTCACATGCTCTCATAAATAAATAAATGAATGAATGAATTTCAAGGCCCTTAATTCGGTATTCTCTAGAAAGCTAGGGTGAGAATGGGAAGTCTTTTCAACATTATTTTGAAGGATTCTGCAAAACATACTGTGCAAGTCTTAGCACCTACATTCTTGTGTTTTGTTTTCTAATGCAGATGTTAGGATACTGACAGTAAATTCTAAATTATATCCATGGGTAACATAAGTATGAAAACCAAAGTTAATTACTTCATGTAATTACTGTTCACTTTTTTTTTTTTAACGTTTATTTATTTTTGAGACAGAGACAGAGCATGAACGGGGGAGAGTCAGAGAGAGAGGGAGACACAGAATCTGAAACAGGCTCCAGGCTCTGAGCTGTCAGCACAGAGCCCGATGGGGGGCTCGAACTCATGGACCGTGAGATCATGACCTGAGCTGAAGTCGGCCGCTTAACCAACTGAGCCACCCAGGCACCCCTACTGTTCACTTTTTAATAAATGTGTTAGAAGGGGCAACTGAGGTGAAGCGTCCAACTCTTGGTTTCTGCTCAGGTCACGATATCACGGTTCATGGGTTTGCGCCCCGCATCAGGCTCTGCACTGAGTGTCAGGCCTCCTTGGGATTCTCTCTCTGCTGCTCTCTCTGCTCCTCCCTGGCTCTCTTGCTCTCTCAAAATAAATAAATTTTTTAAAAATAAAATAAAAGTATTAGAAAACAAAGTTAATGAAATGCCATACTAGAGTTAACAGTTATTCCTTTTAATGTTAGAAAGTATCAAAATTAAAAGCTTTTGTGCTTCTAAGAACATTATCAAAATGAAAAGATAACCAGAGAATGGGAAAAAAATTTTACAAACCATATATCTGACAAGTGACTTACCTAAAAAGAATTCTTACAACTCAATAATAAAAAGACAGCCCAATTTAAAGGATGGACAAAGGATCTGAATAGATATTTCTTCAAACAAAATACACAAATGACCATAAGGACATGAAAAGATGCCTACCATCATTAGTCATCTAGGAAATGCAAATCAAAACCACAATGAGATACCACTTAATACCCATTAGGATGGCTATTACCCGAAAAGTAGAAAACATGCACTGGGATTTGGGGAAATTGGAACATTCATATACTGCTGGAGACAGTAAAATGGTGCAGCTGCTTTGGAAAATAGTCTGGTAGTACTTCCTCAAACATTTAAACATACAGTCGCCCTTTACCCAGCAATTTCACGAGGTATATGCCCAAAAGAAATGAAAACATGTCTACACAAAAACTTGGACACGAACATTTATAGCACCATTATTAATAATAGCCAAAAACTGGAACCAGCCTAAATGCCCATCAAGTGACTGTGGGTAAACAAAGTGTGTATCTGTACAATGGAATATTATTCATCCCTAAGAAGGAATGAAGCAGTTACAAGCCTCAATATGTGTGAGTCCTGAGCACGTTATGCTAAGTGAAAGAAGCCCATCACAAAAGGCCGCATATGGTTGCATTTATATGAAATGTTTAGGCAAATCCACAGACAGAAAGTAGATTAGTGGTTGCTCAGGGGAGGAGTGATGGGGGACCAGGGAGGATGACAATGGAAGACAGGGTTTCTTTTTGAGGGGATGAAAATGTTCTAAAATTGTGCTGATGGGTGCACATATCTGTGAATACACTAAAATCCACTGAATCGTACCCTTTAAATGAATGAAACATATGGTCGATTAAATGTAATTCAATAAAGCTGTTAAAAAGAACGAAGCCAGTGTTAAACTTCAATTCAACCGCAGTCATTTAAAATCATAATTTAACTGTCAAAAAACACATACTAAAAGACCTCAGTCATTTAATTCGTTTGGAACAATTACACCAAACTCCATCTTCTGCACCAGCTGAAGTCTAATTAAATATACAATGCTCTACCCGATCATTAATAATACACTATTTTCCTAACATGTTCTGTTAGTAGCCGCTTGTCTCCTACTATACCTGTCTGACACAGTTTCACCAGAGCAAGCCATAGACAGCCTGAGAGACCTAAGAGGATCTGGGGCAATACAGACTATAAAGGTAAGGAGGTTGACTGTTCTGTGTGGTTGTGGTTTAGGGGCAGTTATAGACAGTGTCCTGTATCATCAAAAGGGCACTGAAAACCCACTGCATTCTATTATTCAGATATCACCTGTTCAACATTTATGTTTAAATATAACCTGGATGTCTGAAAAAGTTCACAGTGTTTCAAACAAAATGATGAAAAATCTGAACTTGCCAGTTTACTCTCGCAGGATCTACTACTGTTCAGTTTTTACCCATTTAGTTCTCAGAATGAATCCTCTCATCTGGAAAAATGAGGGGATTACCATAAACTTGGTAGTTTCTTAGCCTAAAAGATCTAGTGAAGATCCTCTCACCAAAATATTTAATAAACATAGATGAGAGGCACCTGGGTGGCTCAGTCAGTTAAGCGTCTGACTTCGGATCAGGTCCCTCATCTGATGGTTCGTGGGTTCGAGCCCCACATTGGGCTCTGTGCGGACAGCTCACAGCCTGGAGCCTGCTTCGGATTCTGTCTCCCTCTCTCTCTGCCCCTCCCCTGCTTGTGCTCTGTCTCTCTCAAAAATAAAAACATTTAAAAAAATTTTTTTAAAGTAGATGAATGACTAGAATACAAAAAATGCAAAGCAATACTAATTATCCTTTGCTGTGGATAACTAAAGTGACATCTTCCACATTTACTTTCCCCTCAACAGCCACAAAATCTCTGCAGTAGCAATGCCCCAAGGATATTATTATGTATTAATGTTCCTGAAAGATTCTGCAGATTTCACTTTATTTCTAGATATGTAAAGCTAATTTGCCTTCCTTTCCCAAGTGCCCTGTGTCAGCATTAATCGACTAAACCAGAGGATCAGGCACTCTTAAAGAGGCCTGGCCTTTAGTGGCTTCCTGGCCTTGAGTCCATCTTCCCAGGAGCAGGGGTCTACCCAAGTGTCATGGATATGAATTATTATAGTAACTAACAAAGTCACCAAGCAGCATAATTCTCAGGACTTAAAGAAGGTTGTTCAAAATAATCCATACAGGATGCACTTCACTGTACAGGTTCTAAAAACAGAATTCACCTTCTTATCTGTTAAACGATTCTTCAAATTCAACATGTTCTCAAGTCTCTCAAAACAAAATGGTCAAACATTTGCATATGTGTTTTACACCTTTAATCTTGGAGTGAATTAAGCCCACATTATATAGGCTGTCCAGTTGATCACCTCAGCATTCTGTGGCCAACAGGCTTTCCCATCTCTGTGCCGATGTGCTGAGCAATGTACAATTTCAACTTCCCAATAATGAGAAGAAATGAGATGATTGGAAGAATAAGAACATCCTCTGGGAAACTATTAAAACTCCAAATAAATTATTTAAAGTTTTTTTAATTTTGCTTATCTGTTAAGATTAGTCATTTTTTTAAAAAAAAATATTGACTACTCTGAACATTGTTGCAAATGGGTTATATCACAAGCAGCAGAATCTAGGGCTTCTATAAATGAAGAAACAGATTTTCTTGAATCTACCACTGTTAACTATTACAGAAAGTACCCTCTCCTCCCTACTTAACCCCCAGAGGAAAATACATTAGCAAAAAGAATGCCTTCGTGTACTATTTTTAATTTTAATTTGCTCCTGCCAGTAAAAGGAGAAAGGATTTTACAGATTTATAAAACATTCATATGTATTACACATTGCCTTCTGATTTTGAGAGACTTTTCAAGTTAGTTTTTTCACACCATATGCAGCTTTATCAAAAGGTAAAACTTCTCCATAATGCAAACGCTTCCTTACCCAAAAGGATGTAGAATTGTTCTTAGCAATTATTTTTTGATTCCTAATGCCTACTAGGATTGTACTACTCTGCTAACTAGTTTTCTACAATGTATTTCAATATATCTTTACTTTTTTCAGCAATATAATTATCTTCATGAATTTCGGGACAAACTAGCCGCACATCTATCATCAAGAGATTCATTATCAAGATCTGTATCTAGATAAAAAAGAATTTCAAATAACATATATATGACCATGTCTGAAATTTAAGAGCTATTTAACATAATTTGTATTGAAACAAAATTTACTAGTGTTATCAACTTGAATGTAAATGTGTACGTGCAAATATTCCTAAAGCTTTTATTGACAAATTTCAGTTGTATCTCTTATCTCTTCTAGAAGATCGAAAAACTGCTATATAATGTTTGAAATGTACTGTCTCCTCTGGTATGTTTTACTTAGAAATAATGCTGAAGTGAGCATATGGAAAAATGTTTCACTGCCTATTTTTATTATTTACCACAATTTTAACCTCATTTTATGATTTGTAACTACCAGGTGGAATGCAACATAGTAATAAATGTAAAAATGGGTATGAGTACAAACTAAAATCAAGTTAACTTTCACCCTCTGTTCCTCCCACTTTTCCTCCCATGGCTTTTCCTCCTTCATAGACATACACGAGTGAGAAGGATCCTATGAATCTTCTGGACACCTCCCTCCCATGCTGGATCATCCCCAATAGGTGTTTATCCAGCATTTGCTGGAACATTTTCAGATATGAGGAATTCCTTGGTTCAGACAGGTGCTCTCTTTTTAGACCACTCATTTTTTACCCTAGGGACTACACAGAATGAATTAAATCCCTCTTTCACATTTCTGATAGAAAGCACTTATCTACAGATTAACAGTCTCCAATTCCCTCCCTCACCTCACCCTATGCTACTGAATATGTCTTTTTGTCTTTAAATGTAATGTTGAACAGTTGTTTGCACTGTAGACAAGGGCATTTTCACAGATAGTGGTGGCTTTGGTATCACCTGCAATAGTCCCTTGGCTGTGACTGGCACCTCCCCACGAGACAAAGTAAATTTCACATCAAAACTTTTGGAATAATCATCTAATTGCCAAAAGTTTTCTTCTGTTTCAAACTTCTCTTGCTGCTTTAATTTCATTGGGGAATACTTCAGAACAATTACTAGTGCTGTTTGGGAACTTCAGACCAGACAGCCAGTATGTTCTAGAATATAAAATCAGTATTCTAATATTTTTATGTCTACACTGATTTCAGAACTTAAGATTTTATAAGTATACTAAGGAAGATGGGAGAACCACACATATCCTACCACACATATCCAGTATGTGAATGTTTAAACTGTGGGGGTTTCTAATCTAAGATAATAATGTCAAAAGTTATAGGTGGAAAAAAATTTTTTTCAAGTAAGTACAGGCTGCAATAATAGGTTGACCTTCCTCATGATTTCAGTATTACAACCAAAAACAATTTAAAAATCACAATACTTATTAAACTTTAGGAAATCACTGAAATTGATACTAGCAAATCTTATATATTGCTTCTCCTCAATATGGATATAAAGCTTATTCATGAACACTTAAGAAAGTGGAAGAAAAAGGTTGGCATGGATTAATCAAATCCTTTAATAATCAAATGAATTTCCCAAGTGCATGCTTCTCTCATTTTTACTGCAAATGCCAGTTAAGCCTTCCATGTTTAAAATGCTTAACTATTGGGGCACCTGGGTGGCGCAGTCGGTTAAGCGTCCGACTTCAACCAGGTCACGATCTCGCGGTCCGGGAGTTCGAGCCCCGCGTCAGGCTCTGGGCTGATGGCTCAGAGCCTGGAGCCTGTTTCCGATTCTGTGTCTCCCTCTCTCTCTGCCCCTCCCCCGTTCATGCTCTGTCTCTCTCTGTCCCAAAAATAAATAAACGTTGAAAAAAAAAAATTAAAATGCTTAACTACTTTAATACTAAGTATTAAGGGAAAACATCAGTTATTCCATAACAGAATCATGGAATGGGGCACTACTCAAAAGAATATAATTTCACATAGTTGGAAAAGTATTTTCTCTACCTAACCTGTGGAACAGCCCTCAAACCAATGGGGCAGAGAGACTACAGTCCTGGTCACACACAAGCCAGAGTTAGCTGCTGAAATTGAATTAACACAGAGACTCAGCCATTAACCATAAACTACACAAGGCCACATTTGAGATGGTTTTTATTTAATATACAAAAGCAAAATAAATTAAGCTCTAAGGTAGGACTAAAGGGCATTTTCTTTGGACAGCGGTACAGCACCGATCAGGCTAACTTAGATTTTAACAAACCGTGAGCACAGATGGATAACTACATTCTATGTTTCTCTCAGTAGTTTTAGGGGTCTACCTAGTCATCGACCTATTATTTAAGAAATTTTTCTTCTCCAGAATATATGAACATGGTAAGCAAAGAGATTTCAATGTTTAGAAAAAGCACTGTACAATAAAATTAACTTCTTATCCATGTGACCACGTTCTCTCCATCTCCACGTCCACTATGTGCATTACTAAAATTAACGTAGGATAAAAAAACCTTCAGTCCCACAGAGCAGTCACTTTATATGGCTGACACTATTTCCCAAAAGCAGTACAGGCAGCAGAGCTGTTTACTCCTTTTAGATATTTAGCTTTAGGACTCTTAATTAATCAAAGTGAAATTGTTCTAAGAAAGCCATTCAACAGATCCAGGAATAGAGCCACATTTTTTTTTCTCTTGGCATCACTCTAAAGTATCAGTTCAGACTCATCTTCCGAGCTATACTGCTGGTACCAAAGACTCGCTGGCTGCTGCTCTGACCACAGATCAGTGATTGGTTTGAGCAAAAGAGTTTAAATAATTTGAGACTAACATTAGTAGTTTCCCCAAAGGATGAATATGCATACTTTGCATACTTTTAGGAACAATGCTAGACAGGTATCAATATTTTTATCTTTCCCCTTTGAATAGAGTTGTTTTAAAATATTTTTGGTGTCAAAATCTGACTTACAATTATACTGTACAACTGATTATTGAGGGATGCACATTTGTGAGTGTTGAATGATATATAAATAAGTAAACTACATGAATACTTTTAAATACATATTATTTAACCGGGGGGGGGGGGGGGGGGGGTGTGTGGATACGTCACACTGCTGTGTCATAGCCACACCTAAAATGAAAGCTCACACTCCTGCAGGGTATAAGAGATACAAAGAAATCATTATTTGTACCATGGCAAGAATATTCCATGAGCACTGTTCGTAAATATATAATTGGAAGAAAAGAGAAATGTAGCAAGGAAAGTTTTTTCATACTTTTAGAGTGTTTCTACATTTCTATTTCCTTTCTATGCATACAGTGGACATATTTTCAAAATATGTTGATTTGGAGAGGAGAGAAGAGCTCTATGAGAGCTATTAGCAAGAGTGGTCCTCAGGCTTAAATCTATTGAACAGGCTTAAAACGACACACATACTGCAAACCGCCATGTACTTTGTTGCTTTGTGAAAGACCATTATCTGGGTATCTGAACTTGACTGCTAGGTCAGGGAGTTAATGATGTAATCCAAGAGGCTTCTCAAATTCTTTCGTAATACCCGACACATGTCAAAAGTCTGGTCATTTCCTATCACTTCCCCTTCCCATGAAAAACAACCCTCAAACTTCAAACAAATTAGCAATTTGTCCAAAGCCTGGGACCCAACTCTCCTCAACCATGGGACAAGAAGTGGGAAATGCCAGTTACAATCGTGAAAATCATCAAACGTCATTACTAAGTTTCTACACCTATACTTCCTTAGTACTAAAGGGACATACTCCATGGTATAATATTATTACTCTAAAGAATAACTGCTAAATAGACTACATTTATTACATAAGATTCTTAATTCAGGAGAATCTGTAGTACCCACAGCAACAAAGGGTTGTCAGTATAGATACAAACCACAGCATAGCGGTATTCAACAATGGTTTCTAAAAGGTGGAAAACCCTTTAAAGATAAATCAAACCACATAATAGCAAAAGTAACTGTAACAAAGCAAAAAAAAATTACCTAAGTAAACAGCGGTCACTGCACAGGGAGCAGTTTGGTAAAAGCTGGAAGGGTTACGCCGCCAGGCTAACTAGGCCACAGCTGGACCTGCAGGAATAACAGAAGGCTAGGACTGCCGAAACAGATAAAATGGGTGGAACACACTGGAGTCTGAGCAAGGACAAGAGCCAGCAGGAGACTGCCTTGTGCAGGGATCTTGTTTCTGCTTTCTCTTCATAAGTAATTTACTTTCCTAAAACACTGGAAAAGGTAAAGACGGGTAGATATCACGAGAGCTTCCAGGCACTCAATCTTTGCACAGTCTCCATGCCTAGGAACCAACAGCCTACCCCTGAGAAGGGTAAACCTTACTGGCAGTCATGTCACCTTTGAGGAATCAGCTAAGGACTACAAATCTAATTTTTGAAGCATGAGAAGGTGGCTTCCACAAACTGCAGCCTTAATTAAACCTTGCAGAATTGTGGAGAATAATCAGGAAAACATGATTAAAAGGTTTCTTAATACTTGAAAGTAGCACTTGCTAGGAGACAGCAAGGGCTTGTGAAAAGACTTTGACAGGAATGCCAAGGTAACAGCTCCAGGAAACCTATCTGGACTCGGCAAGGTCCCTCATGATCAAAAGTACTTGTGAACCAGAAAGAAAAATGAGGAGTGGGTGCTGACATCATTAGTTGGGATTAGAAACTGCTCAAGCTCAGAGATTGAATCTTTAGTACCTAGCAACAGGTCAATAAATAATTTTCTGCATGAGCTGACCAACAGTTCACCTCCCTTGAGGTGTCCTTCAGACCATAAAACACAGGCCTTTAAATTTTTTTTTAAATGTTTTTATTTATTTTTGAGAGAGAACAAGCGAGCAAGCAGGGGAGGGGCAGAGAGAGAGAGAGAGAGAGAGAGAGAGAGAGAGAATCTGAAGCAGGCTCCAGGGTCTGAGCTGTCAGCACAGAGCCTGATTCCGGGCTCGAACCCACGAATCATGAGATCATGACCTGAGCCGAAGTCAGACACTTAACCGCCCGAGCCACCCAGGCGCCCCAAAACACAGGTCTTTAAAGCTTGTCTCGTTATGAAATGGTTTGGTTCTCACTCTTCTGGCTCTACATTCTCTTCTTCCACATACTCACGCTGCTACGCAATCCCAAAATGTTAACGGCTACTCTCAAAGGTGGAGAAGCATTTTTTCGCTAGCAGAGGATTAACCAACCAGCATCTAATTCAAGGCACTCTTAGAGTACGAATTCCACAAACTCATCCATAAACTCCCTTGATTATTAAGTGGAATTTCTAGATACCGGTTTTCTTTCTTTGATCTTTTGTTTAAGAAACTTCTGAAAAAAAAAAAAATGGGGCGCCTGGGTGGCTCAGTCAGTTAGGCATCCGACTTCA